TTTTTTTTTACAGTGATGACAGCATTATTAAAATTGTAAGTTTTGATTCAGATAAACTTTGTTTTTTGCTTTGCTATCGCATTAATATGACAGCCTTATTTGAATTATACTGTGTGCAATATAAAGGTTGTAACGTTTGGTATTTTGCAACTATCGCACTACAGATAAATCATATAATCTTGATTTTTTTAAAAGATGCGCTGCGAAAAGATCTACAAATACTGTAAGAACAAATCCCAATTTACTTGTTCTGATGATGTCTCTTATATCCAAAATAAACGGGTCACATGACAGTGCTATATCCCACCGCATTTAGCATAATAGAAATATTTGGAAAACTTTTTTGTTTTGCAATAAGAATTAGTTTATACAGTTTTTGTAGAGTTTTTCAGAGCATAACGTTTTACAAAAAATCAAGCTTATGTGATTTATCTATGGTGTGATATTTGCACAATACCAAATGTTACGATCTTTATGCTGCATCCGGTAGTATGAGACGGAATATCATCTCCCGAAATGAAAGGTCACCGTGGTACTGACTTTACAGTTTTTCTGTACCATGCAAATCCTAAAACTATAGTTTCTATACAACTATTTTTTGTTGCGAAAATACAGCTTTTAGGTCGTGTAAAAACTCGTTTCACTGGGTAGTAGTCTTCAAGAACATGGTATAGAACAACAGTGTTAAGGTAAATATTTTTACATTCATACAATGCGAATGTTTTAACTTTCACGTCCTAGTTTGTAGACCAGATAGACTTCTAGTGTTTTTATATATTCATATTCGACACAAAAAGCTGCCGTTTTCAATAAAAGACAAAGAAAAGATTCTAGGATAGATGAGAAGTCTATTACAAAATCGGAAATTCCTCTCATAACTAGTCGAAGATCATGATTTCTTCCGTGCATACTTTCAGAAAATTCTACGTCCGCTCTTGAAATATTAGAAATCATTTTTGAACGTTCACCGAACACAGACTGAAAATGCTGACCACTTGATTTATGGAATTCAATATATGCTTCATATTAGAACCATTACGCCTGAATGACTGAACCAATAAGGACGATATGTTTAGCAACATTAGAAGACGACATGATCTATCAACTAGAATCGAAAACATCTTTTTCTATTCTCAGGCAAGCACAAAGTCAGATTAAAAATGATCATCAGTGCAAAAAATGAGCCGAATGCTAGACACCTGATCCCAATGTAACTCTTCATAGCTACATTTGAAATGCTTAGTTCCATCACATGAAATACTCATCTCGATGTGCGTTATCATTCTACATAAAGCAGTTAAAAATTAGATAAGAAAGGTCCTAAGAATCGATTGCGCTCTTGTCAGTCCCGTCATGTGTTGTATGTCCGATTGAAAATAATGACCCAATATTATTTTGTATGTTTCAAAATTTTGAGCAAATTTAAATTACTGATTTCGTTTCTTTCATTAATTCAAATCTGTTAAACGATGATTTTGTCGTTTAGTTCGCTGATTAAATGCTCTAAAAAGTAAATAATTAAAATATTAACGCTTTGTGATTTTCAACTTTTTGAGTTTGACTAGAGTATTTTGTAAGAAATCATCATTATATATAATATGAAAGCAGTCGAAATCATCACACGTATTCCGCTATACCTCGGCGATTCTGCACTGTTTCAATGAATTATCCATTGTTTTCATCCTTCAGCTATTGCGGAACAGTAATAAGGTTTTTCTTCTTTCGAGATCGAACCATGAGAATAGGAAAAAATTGACGCAATTCCCGAGATATAAGCAGTGCAAGCATTATTTGCATATTATTTATGGTAGAAAGGAAGTGCAATAGCGATGAGTCCATTATCTGTATGGTAAGTACGCAATAAATTTATTTGTCCTTTTCTCTTCTCAACCTTTAAAATAGAAACACATTGATAGTATGTCAGTTCAGAAGAAAATGTAACTCATCTTGATCCTCATGCCTATTTACTTTGTTTTCAATAGAGTTGAATGTCAAAGCGTATGTATAGAAGGTGATTTAAGTCTGCTTTCTTGCTTTATTATTGTTTCACGATTTAAAATAGGACATGATTAAAACGATGTAATCTCCTCAAGGAGAAAAAAGTGCGACATCAATACTTGAAGTAAAACATTTGAAGTATGAGTGAAATACAAGTAAAGTGTAGTAAAGCACGGTAAAGCATGCATTCCTGGAGTCTCGCTTCCCCTCTTGATTCCCCTGCTTTTTATTCACGCTACTCATCCGAACACACACCGCTCGCCATATCCAACATGAAAGACCAAGCGAGAGGACAGGATAATATACCAACAGCCTATCAGGATGCGAACGCGAGAATACGAAACAGGGTAGCACCATGAAGGAGAACAACAACACAAGTAAGAATAACAGCAAAAACATATCGGCAAAGAACGGTGCACCGTCACGTCCCAGGAAGTCTAGGATTGGCTGAAGAACGAGATTCTAACAATGACAGTTTTAATACATTTATTGATTACTTTCTTTGGCAGAATTATAGAGATACTTACAAGCAGAATACTTACACTGTAAAAGAAATTTGACTTCATAGTTCATAGCAGTATTTCTTGAAATTATAGGACTGCAAAAGAAGTCCTTAATAAGCTACTTCTTCAAGAGATTTCATAGACTCATAAAAATACTTTCTTTCATTCTACTTCGATTTAAAAACATCAACCTATTTCGATTATTTTGTCTGTAAAAATAGCATTAAAGCAGCTCCTTTTATCTACCATTTGAAGACTCTTCATTCTCTCTGCAACAGAATAGTACATCCAAAAAATAATAATAGTATCTTATTGAAACTTGCATACTCAACTCTACTGACTGGATCTGCCTATTGAATGGACCGATTAATATTGAAATTCCTGCTACTAGTGTTGGATTTCGAACTATGGTATTGCCTGTGGTTCGACTTTTAATGCCTTTTACTCTCTGAATCTTATTAGACAATCTTCGGATTGTTCTATCTCTGAAAAGTGTTGACTTCTCAAGCGTATGACTTAATCGACCAAATGGTATAGAAGCTCAACTTTCAGAATAGTTTGAGAACTTCTGACCCATATGTGCGAAACAAAAATAAATTGATTTTTACGAAAAATATTTCGTACGAAAGTTCGGACAATATTTTGAGGGTACTTTGTTTATAACTTTCAGCTGAAGCATAAAATGCTTGATAAGCAATATTGCTTCAAGAGGTAACACATAGCTGGCTGGCTAAATCGCTGATCAAGCAGTTCATCCAACAGATAGATAGAAAGATAGACAGTTCGTCAAATAGTTAAATAAATAGATAAATACAGAGACAGATAAATACAGAGACAGATAATTAAGTAACTGATTACAAAGATAAATAATTAAACAAATCAATGAAAAGATAAGTAGCTAGAGAGTTGAATTAAGAACGTGGTGAGTAGATGTATACATAAAAAGATATATTCAACAATGGAAATGAAATTGAAAGTTTCCGTCGCAAGAGTTTGGATCTTAAAAAGAACTAATACAGATATTTTCGGAATTCTGAATTTTTTTATTCTATACAAAGAATGAATCTATATGGATCTTTTTTGCATGTAAAACGTTCAAACGATTCAGAATTCGTTGTGGTTTTTCGAACTATTTTAGATTTGGTGCAGTTCTTCTATTTTTTTTTCAGAGTACACGCTCTTTTTACTGTATAGTTTGATCATCCTATGAAATATAAATGACCGTAGTGCTAAATAACACATCCTACGTTTTGATATAATTTACGACAATTATAAAGAGCTGTGCAATAAAAACCATAAAATACATCTAAATATAAGAACTTTTATTTCTTTTGTAAATATTAAAATATTATATCCCCAATATGAATGTTTTGAATGTAAAATAAATAGAAAAAGAAAAGTTCGTAGTTTAAATTATTGTTTTTATTCTTCTTTTATAGTTAATACACAAAGCACATCAAAAATATATTCATATTTATTTTAAATTCGATTTTTCTTTCTCATCATAATGTTATCACTACCCTCAGCAAAGAATAACAACAATGATTCAAATATCGTTGATTTATTATATCATTTATGTAAAGAAAATGAAATAGAAAAAGTTCGAAGTATTCTACCATATATTAACAATATAAATATTATAAATACAATTCAAAATTCAACAGGTTCAACATGTTTGCATATAGCATGTTATTATGGACATCGACATATGGTACAACTTTTATTAGACTATGGAGCTCTACATTCCATTAGAAATTTACGACACAATTTAACACCTTATGAAGAAGCATATACAGATGATATAAAACAACTATTTGTACAACATGGCAAATTATTTTCAAATAATAATTTTGATTATGATTATATTGAATGGTCAGTAGTAGGAGATGATCTCCTTGGAAAACGACGTGAATTTCGTCAAGCTATTGATTTATATAAAAATTATGATAATCATAATTTAGTATCAAAATTATTAGCTGAAGTTATTCATTATTATTTAAATGAATATCTGAAAAATGAAAGTAATGATGCTGGCAATCCAGAAGATCAAATTACTCGTGAACAAATTGAAACTATTGAAGGATATTTTAAAGAAGCTATAGAAAAACAAGATTATTTAACACATTTTGTAAAAGCTTATACATTAACAAATTGTTTTTACAAAGTATTAAATAAACATTTAGCTCTCTATATATTACAATATTTTGATAACACAAAAGACTTTTCATCAAATTATCGTCTTGTCAATTGTCTAGTTCACATTGTTACACTCTTAATTTATCATCCAAATTTGCCTCAATATCGATATCAAGGTATATGTTATCGTGGTATGAGAATAACACAAAATGATTTAAATCAATATCTTTCAAATCAACATATATTAAATCGTTCATTTTTATCAACATCAATTGATCGTGAAGTAGCTGAAATGTTTGCTGGTGAAGGTCAACAATCTAAAATGAGATATACTCCCAAAAATCATTGTGCATTACAATATTCATGTTTATGTCAATATTTAATAAAACAAAACTCAACAGCTATCAATATACAAAGTTTATCATCAAGACCGGATGAAAAAGAAATTTTAATTCTTCCATTTACCGTTTTTAAAGTCATAGCAATCAAACAAAATTATCTTAATAATCCAACAGCATCAATTTCAATTGAAATTGAATTAGAAGAATGTGAAGATTCAAATGATAATAAAAATGAATCGGAAAGTAAGATATTTTTTCTTTACATATCTCAAAAAAAAGCATTAACTCTTTTAATTCTGCCAAATTTTCAGATAGTCAAACATCAAGAACATCATCATTATCATCAACTAGTGATGACATAAAAGATGTCGAAGAATATCAAACATTCAAACAACGAAAACGTTGTCTTTATAGTATCATTAGATTTTTGATGTTCGCTATTCTTTTGGGTTTAACTTTTATGTTCATTTTTATTTTCGTTATTCATCAAGTAACGCGACGCAAATATCGCTAACCCTCTACTGAAAAGAACTATGCCATCGTGCATACCTTATGTGAATAAAGAGCTATGGACCTACTATTCTTACATACACTTAAAGGAACAAAAATTAAAGGAATAGTCGATGGATATATATGAATATGCTAAAGTTACTAAAAAGACCAAAGAAGTGTAGACCAGTCATAACGAAAACTTTCACACATCAATCGGTGAGCTGTTCTCAACCAGCATTAACAGAGTATTGACAGTCACTAATTGTTCATATAGGCAAAACAGCTAACGTGATTGATAAGAAACTTTCTTATTTTCATATTTCTGCTCTGGTTCAGCGATACTTTTTTTGGCTTCCCTTAAAAATGTATGATCAGAAACTGTCGGAAGTAGAAGAGAACTACTATATATAGCTCGTCACATTTTTCAGCTCAAATACTGGATAAGTCATTTCAAAGATGAGTTGGTCTTGATGTAGATCATTTTTAACTTGATACTCCTCATGATTTGACAATAACAGTCGAGTCAAATGAGACCTATTTTGCCAGCTAAACTTTCCATAGATTCGAATTCCATAAAGTACTTGGGTAATTCCATGGTGTTCCTTTAACCGTTACATATGTCATCTTCGATTAGTCTTCAAATAGTATCATTGAATGGATAGAACTTCTTACGCTGATCATTTTCATTACCAAAGAAGTCTACCATTGATAGTACAATAAGAGAGAAACTTACAACATACGAAAATACGCATTTTGATTATTTTCTTCGACTTCAAATGTGATCGTTTTGATTATTTTCGCGAATGTGAATCTAACTATTTTTTCTAATCGAAATTTCAACTCCAGATTCGTGTAGAGCATCGAAAAATCTCCAAGGTCATCTACTTTTCAAGGTATATTTAAATTACTTTTACTGGAACCTCACCAGCTACTCTTTTCCGCTCAGTAGCTAAAACATGCGAAAATATTTGCTTATCATGTCATTCAAAAATGGAATTCGCGCAGAAAGCCCGATATGCACTTCGATAAAGGAGGTCTGCTCTATCGACCTAAATAAATAACTTTTTATGGAAGTATCATTTTCTATGAAAATAGGAAGAAAAACAAAAACAATGCTGCTGTTTTTACATTTTTAGTAATGGGAGTTTTATATTGTTCAACTATTTGCTCTAATATTTTGCGATCAACAATAAAAATCAGCTTTAGATTCAAAATCAACATTAAAAACTGCATCGAATGAGGTATTTTGAGTCAGGTAAAATTACTTTGTATCGAGTCTTGGTAAACAGACATTCATTCTACACTTATGTTGCTTGTACATAAAACTTTGTTAAAACCAAGTATACCGTGGTCGGAAGCTAAATTATTAACGAAACTCAAATCAGTTTCATTATTGTAACAACGAACGCTTATTGTTATGTGTGCGTGTGTGTGGGTGTGAGTGTGGGTGTGAGTGTGGTTGTGGGTGTAGTATTCGTTAGACATCCACAACCACACTCACACCCACATCCCACACACCTACACCCATACACCCACACCCACACTCACACCCCACACACCTACACCCACACCCACACACCCACACCCCCACCCACACCCACACACCTACGATACCTGAGTATTCGCATAATAATATCTCCTTCATCTGGATTTTCATTTGTAATCAAACAGTGTACTGATGTTGTGAGCGAAATTTTAGTGAAACACTGAGTTTCATCACAAGGACCCGGTCGTATAAGGCCATTTGTAAAAGTATGATAAGCATTGACTGCTTCAATACCTTGCATAATAATATCCATATGATTTTTGCTTCATTTCGACGATGCCAACAGGTGAAATTACTCAAATGTTCTTTAGCTCGATCATGTAATTCTTTTAATGTAATGTTCCAAATCTTTTCACGTTCGATTAATTGTGCATATGTTTGATGAAGCAGAAGATAGAATTGACTAAGTTCATAAATATGTTTCGTCATGCTGAGAAATTCAGTTGAATCTATAAATTGTTGTAAGACTCGTAAAGATAGATGAGCATTTTTTGGATTGTACATTTCCGTTTTGAAATGTATTGTTTGAACAGTAACTGGCATCTGAGAAGTATATCGCTGTAAATCGAATTGAATTTGCGATTGTAATTGTAATTGATTAGCATATGTTTTATACTCAACCAATTGTTGATAGATAGGATAAAATACTTCATTTTGATAATTCTTTTCTGCATTTAACTTAGATTCAAAATCTTGATAGATGGATTTTATCCATGAATTTCTTTGATCCACTGTAAGATATGCCATACGCTCGAAACAACAATTGAGTAAAATACAAGCATCGTCTTGATTAGAACGAATCGCTAGAAAATTGAAGACTGAAAATAAACGAGCACGAACAAAATGGCAAACTTTTGCACGAAGACTGTTCCTACCCATTTGACCAGTAGGTGTATTATCTGCAATAGCACTTGGTGATAAAATAGGACCGTGCAGATTTCGAACAGATTCATTAAACAATAGTAGATGCCAAGCCTATATTGATCATAACTAAGAGTAAAAACAAGATCCTACAATACTATAATAACTCACCATTGCACCAAATGTTGAAAAATAAACGGCATATATTGCTGGAACATTTAATTGGCTGTTTGGTTCATTGTTTGTATACTGAACAAGCTCACCATCCTCAGTGATGATACAGCCACAATCGTAGTGAACAGAAGATCTTTCAACAACGGACTGGCATGTAGATCCGAAACCTAAAATGAATCAAACATGATTATCAAAGTTTTATCAAATCTATTGGTCACGAGAGACAAGAGTAGTAGCTGTTGGAGGTAAATACCTACCAAATGTACCCTCAATTGACAATGGTTCAAATGCGAATGTCCAAAGAAAACTTTTCACGCCTCCTTTTATGATCATAGCCATCAAATTGACAAGTGAATGCCGAATACATAATTCATCTGCTGCTTCACAATCTAATCTGAATAAATTATTGAGATAATTAAAATCAGTATTATTATTTTGTTGAGGATAACCAATCATGCAGCCTTCAGGTTCTAACATATTACGAAAAACACGTAATTCTTCGGAGGATGCGTCTAATGTTCGTTCAATGGTATTAAGTAAGGTGTTTAGTAACTGCAGTTGATTGTTACAATAATAATTATAGTAAATATTTAATAATAGCATCACTTTAATATCATTCATTTGTAGATCAACAGGAATTGTGTTTAATTTGAGTTGAATCCAATCAGATAGAGGTTTTCATTGGTCTCCTATTTTGTTGTTAATACATGCGATAATTATTTGAGTTAATTCATTGTAGGGTTGATGAAGATGTGGAAAAATTGATAAGGCATGACTGCTCGGTGATAGAGTAAATTGTAGTTGATGAGAAAATTTTAGATATTTGTTCGATTTTGGTACTTGTTTTAACTCAAGATGACGGTACAAAATACTTGCCCATGTCCGATTTAAGTTTTGTATTTGATCTGATTTCAATAGATCTAAGAGAAAAGTCCAGGAACGTTTCGATATAATTGTTGATAAAAAGATTTGTAAATTGGGAGTAAGTTGAGTTGTTGTTTCCTTGATCGACAGATAGTCGTTGATTAAAACTTTCACGCATTCAAGGAATTCATTTAAATCATCAGTATCATTGTGAGCTGTTTGGCACAAGTATATAGCTGCTGAACGTAAAAGAAAGTACTCTTTCAATTTTTTGCATATGATTTTAACCGAAGACATAAGGCCTTGATCTTTGATCTTAGGTGTTTTTAATGCTATTAATTCATTGATGAGTTTCTTGTTGATTACACTCTCATTAGCGTGGCGATCAATATAAAAGAAGAATAAACCGAGTAGTACTAAGCGATTGCCTTGATGTTGTTGAAGAATAGATGAATGATAGGGTATTTGGTAATATTGCAATCGAGTTCTATCCGAAATACATTGCATCACTATTGGTAATAGGTACTCGATACGGCCCACTATAGATGAGATATTTTGTTGAAATTGAATGGAAGTTAGATCGAGGGTGTGGGTGTGGGTGTGGGTGTGGGTGTGGGTGTGGGTGTGGGTGTGGGTGTGGGTGGGTGTGGG